TCCCCACCATGGTGTGACACATCCGCAAAAGGGTGTTGTTTTTGATTGCACCGCTTTGTTTCAAGAGAAGTCACTAAATGAGGAATTGTTACAGGGTCCAGACCTCACTAATGGTCTGGTTGGAGTCCTGACTACACTTTATGGAAGACTGCAGAGGATGGTAAAGACATGTCATCACCTGAGGCAGTAACTGCAGTCCTAAAGCACTTCTATGTTGATGATTGCCTGGTCTCAGCGGCCAACGAGAAGAAGGCTACTTCCTTGACCAAGGACCTTGTTGCACAATGCGAGAGTGGAGGATTCCGTTTGACTAAGTGGTCTGGCAACAGCCGTGAAGTGCTGTCATCACTTCCCAAACATGAGAGAGCAAAGGAGATCAAGAATCTAGATCTGGACAGAGATGAACTACCGATGGAAAAGGCCCTTGGGGTGGACTGGTGCATAGAATCAGATTCCTTCAAGTTCCATATCCTTGTGAAGAGTAGGCCTCTGACCAGACGAGGTATCCTCTCGGTCGTAAGCTCAATTTATGACCCCATAGGATTTCTGTTGCCTTTCATTCTTCTTGCGAAGATCATTGTCCAGAATCTCTGCTGAATGAAACTTGCCTGGGATGATGAGATTCCAGAAGACATAGCAAACAGATGGGTTGCCTGGCTGTCTGATCTGAGCCAGTTCTCCAGCTTCTCCGTCAAGAGGTGCTTCAAACCTGAGGGATTTGGTCCAGTGGTGTCGGCCCAGCTGCACTACTTCTCCGACGCTAGCGAGAAGGGCTATGGCGTTGTTACTTACCTTCGCATCGAGAACAGCCATGGTCGAGTCCATGCTCATTTCTTCTAGGAAATTCTAGAGTGACACCACTTAAATCAGTCACTGTGCCACACCTCGAGCTTACAGCAGCTACTATTGCGGTGAAAATGGATAAGCTCTTGAAGCGAGAGCTGCAGATGGACCTCAAAGCCTCCGTGATGTGGACAGATAGCACCACCGTCCTCCCATATATATCGAAAACTATGGCGCTCGCTTTAAAACCTTTGTTGCAAACAGAGTATCAACAATCAGAAAAAACACAAGGCCAGCACAGTGGAGGTACGTCAGCACAGCTTCTAATCCAGCTGACCACGCATCACGAGGAATGTAGGCAGAGCACTTCATAAAGTGTCAGAGTTGGATTGAAGGTCCTGACTTCCAAGCCAAAAACAAATCTCACTGGCCGGTCTTATCAGAGTTCTCAAGAGAGACAAGTGAAGACGATGCTGAAGTGAAGCGTACGACCAGCATGAACATTATTAAGGCCGTCAACTCAAGCACAGACCCTCTCTTCAAGCTAACTCATCACTACTCCGACTGGCACAGCGTGAGGAAGGCTGTCGCCTGGATGTTGAGACTGAAGGAGCTACTTAGAAGTTTCTGCAAAAGAAGGAAGATGCTTGAGTCTCCAGTCCAGCCAAGTCAAGATGTGAAAATCAAGACAGTTGAGAACCACATGCAGAAATGGAGATCTTCCCTAAACGGAATCCATCTTGCTGTCAAGGACATCAGAAGAGCAGAAGCTGCTATCATTCAGTTCAGCCAAAGTCAAACCTTCCATGAGGAGCTTTGTGCACTACAGAAAGGAGAAAAGGTCAAGAGAAGCAGTTCCATCGTGAAACTGGATCCCTTCCTCCAAGATGGCATTCTTCGGGTTGGCGGAAGATTGCACCATGGCACCTTGCCAGAACATACAAAGCATCCAGCCATTCTGGCCAAGGATCATCACATAACAACTTTGATCATCAGGAATGCTCATGAGGAAATCGGATGTCTGGATAGCAAAGGAAATACAGCGGTGAGAAGTGTGCTTTCAAAGTGTGTGAAATGCCAGAAGTGTCAAGCTGCCATGAGTGAACAGAAAATGGCAAATCTACCACCTGATCGTCTTCTGCCTGACCATCTACCGTTCACCAACGTCGGTGTAGACTATTTTGGCCCTTTTGAAGCAAAGTGTGGGTGCACATGTGTCAAGCGTTGGTGTTTACTTGCCTTACAGTCAGAGCCATCCACATTGAAATTGCACACTCACTCGACACATACTCCTGTATAAACGCAGTGAGACAGTTTACTGCCAGAAGAGGACAAGTAGAAGTTATGAGATCTGATAACGGAACAAACATGGTAGCTGCAGAGTATGAGATCCGCCAGGCAATGAAAGAATGGAACCAGGAGGAGTTACTTGGATCTTCAACCCACCTGCCGGTTCGCACCATGGTGAGATTTGGGAGTGCCAAATAAGAACAGTACATAAGGAGGATCTATACTCCAAACGAAGATGGAGGCAAGTGCAGTATATCTCTGATATCTTCTGGATGCGCTGGTCTAGAGAATACTTGCCCCTCCTACAAGAAAGGAAGAAGTGGCTGGAAAAGAAGCGAAACGTGAAAGAGGGAGACATCATGCTCATCAGGGACAAGAGGGCTCCAAGAGGGTCCTGGTTAATGGGGAAGGTGGAGAAGACTATCCCTGATGCCCAAGGGTTTGTCCGTCGAGTCCTAGTCAAAACAAAGACCAACACCCTGGAGAGACCCATTGACAAGCTGTGCCTTCTGCTGGAGATGGAAGAATCTCATGGTCAATGAAGGACATTATTATTATTAGTATTTATTTATTTATTTATTTATTTTTTGTAGGTTTCCATTAGATTAGTTTAAGTTGTTTACAGCGGTTTAGACTTAAGTAAGAGTTCTGAAAGGGAACTGAATATAGAAAATAACTCTTTAGTTTAGTTATGTAATTGTCATCCTCATGATGAGCAATTAGGGTCGGAAATGTTGGTGCCATTTTCTATGTTGCAATTTAGGCTCATATTCAGTTCAGATTCAGATTATAATTTATTTTATATGTATTGATTGCATGTTACAGCATATTTAGGATTACATTACAGTACTATATTTGATCATTTGTATTTAATGTAACTTAAATTTTCCATCCATCCATCCATTTTCGTCCGCTTATCCGGGGCCGGGTCGCGGGGGGAGCAGCCTAAGCAGGGACTCCCAGACTTCCTTCACCCCAGACACGTCCTCCAGCTCCTCCGGGGGGACCCCGAGGCGTTCCCAGGCCAGCCGAGAGACATAGTCCCTCCAGCGTGTCCTGGGTCTTCCCCGGGGCCTCCTCCCGGCGGGACACGCCCGGAACACCTCCCGAGGGAGGCGCCCAGGAGGCATCCGGAACAGATGCCCGAGCCACCTCAACTGGCTCCTCTCGACGTGGAGGAGCAGCGGCTCTACTCCGAGCTCCTCCCGTGTGACTGAGCTCCTCACCCTATCTCTAAGGGAGCGCCCAGCCACCCTGCGGAGGAAACTCATTTCGAGCGCTTGTATCCGCGATCTCGTCCTTTCGGTCACTACCCAGAGCTCATGACCATAGGTGAGAGTAGGAACGAAGACTGACCGGTAAATCGAGAGCTTCGCCTTTCGACTCAGCTCCCTCTTCACCACAACGGTCCGATACAGCGACCACATCACTGCCGAAGCTGCGCCGATCCGCCTGTCAATCTCACGTTCCGTCCTTCCCTCACTCGTGAACAAGACCCCGAGATACTTGAACTCCTCCACTTGAGGCAAAGACTCCCCACCCACCCGGAGAGGGCAAGCCACCTTTTTCCGGTCGAGAACCATGGCCTCGGACTTGGAAGAGCTGATCTTCATCCCAGCCGCTTCACACTCGGCTGCAAACCGCCCCAGTGCACATTGCAGGTCCTGGTTCGATGAAGCCAACAGGACAACATCGTCCGCAAACAGCAGAGATGAAATCCTGTGGTCCCCAAACCGGACCCTCTCCGGCCCCTGACTGCGCCTAGAAATTCTGTCCATAAATACAATGAACAGAACCGGTGACAAAGGGCAGCCCTGGCGGAGTCCAACATGCACCGGGAACAGGTCTGACTTACTGTCGGCAATGCGAACACAGCTCCTGCTCCGGTCATACAGGGACCGGACAGCCCTTAGCAAAGGGCCCCGGACCCCATACTCCCAGAGCACCCCCCACAGGACACCACGAGGGACACGGTCGAATGCCTTCTCCAGATCCACAAAACACATGTGGACTGGTTGGGCAAACTCCCATGAGCCCTCGAGCACCCGATGGAGAGTGTAGAGCTGGTCCAGTGTTCCACGGCCAGGAAGAAAACCACACTGCTCCTCCTGAATCCGAGGTTCGACTATCTCCCGGATTCTTCTCTCCAGTACCCTGGCATAGACCTTACCGGGAAGGCTGAGAAGTGTGATCCCCCTATAGTTGGAACACACCCTCCGGTCCCCCTTCTTATACAGAGGGACCACCACCCCGGTTTGCCAGTCCAGAGGTACTGTCCCCGACCGCCACGCGATGTTGAAGAGGCGTGTCAGCCAAGACAGCCCCACAACATCCAGAGACTTCAGGTACTCAGGACGGATCTCATCCAACCCTGGAGCCTTGCCACCAAGGAGCTTGCCAACCACCTCAGTGACTTCGGCCAGGGTGATGGATGAGTCCGCCTCCGAGTCCCCAGCCTCGGCCTCCTCCTCGGAGGACGTGACGGTGGGATTGAGGAGATCTTCAAAGTATTCCTTCCACCGCCGGACAACGTCCCCAGTCGAGGTCAGCAGCTCTCCCCCCCCACTTAAATTTTGTTTGAATTATTTCAGATTAATTAGTTTAAAATTTCCAGATATATAGCCAATAGGAGCTGACGCTTTGAGTTCACACATGGATGTAAGGGAAAACCGTTAATCTGTTTTTGCTTGTGTGAGAACTTCAGTAAAAGACAGGGCAAACACACTGTTTTCTACCGTCGTTAAAACTTAAACATGAGTAGACTCATTCTTTCCATCTGAAAGTGGTTAATTTCATGAATACGCAAAAGGAAAACTCACAGAACACAAGAAGGTAAATTTAGCCACTACAGTAGCCAAATATCTTATTGTTAAAACGTAACTTTTAGTTTAGCACCACAGTACAATTAGACAGATGGTTGTACTTATAGAGTGTGCAGTGTGGGAGCTTCAGAGTCTCTGTGTCTTTAGCTTCAGTCTGTAGAGGCTAGCTCCTCTTCAGCTCCATGTTGTCCAGTCTGTCAGTGTCCAGCTCTTTTCTCACAGCATCTAAAATGACACCAGTGTGTATGAAATACCTCATTACACCTCTTCTTCTTGTAAGAAGTTAGAGTTACGGATTTTTGAAGAACAATGTAAGTAATAATGACAGTGGAATAATGACGGTGGGTTGTGTGATTTGATGAAAGGTGTACACTTACATAGGGTCACTCTTTAATCTCCACCACTTTATGTTCTGAAATAAACAATATGTACAACAACAGGTGTGATTATAATGTAAACATGTACACTTACAGAGGGTCTGCCTCTTCATTTTTGAATCTTCACCCACCACGGGAAATTCTGTTATACATCAAAGAAAAGAAAGATAAATATCAGTTTGGATCATTTCAGGCCACAGTGTTTAATACAAGTGCAGTATTTACTTCCAGAAGGTCTTTATCGTCCCCTTATGTCCATCTTCTTATTATCCATAGCATTCTCTAAAACAGAGATAAAAAGCATTTTTAACTCATAGGAAATACTTTACCACAGAATAATTGAACAGTATAATTTGTTTTAGTATGAGCGTGAATATGAGCATGAGACATATTTCACTGCTGTATAATACTATACTCTACTACATTTACTTTTAGCACAGCATTTAAAATACAGTAATCAATTTATGATGGTGCTCATGGTCAGTATCAGTGCAATTAAGATGTGACACATTAGTGTCCCTGTCAAGATGTCAGATTTTTCACTGAAAGCCTGAAGCACTGTTTCAAGACCCATAACAGCAAGTTAGAGACAAAGTCAGATTTTGCTCTAAACTAAGTCCTCACTGGCACAGAAACCGTGAAAAGTACTTACTTACTGATCAGTGTGCAGGGCTCCGGATGGAGACACTCAGAAGGGTTGCCTGGAAATCCGGAAGGATATTTCTCTGTATTTGTTATACAGCTCCTTATCTGGATTCTTCCAGGCAATCAGAAGGGCTCATCTGGGGAAAAGAACGTTTTGGTTGGTTAGCTAACGTTGTTAAAAGTTGTGCCTTTTATTACATTACCTTATTGTATTAACGCACCGACATGACTGCACTTTAGTCTTAAGAGTCAACATACTGCACAAAGAATAATTATCTGTGGTTTAAAACACAACCAGTTCAGACACCGGTGTCACAGTCGCTCCACAGCCGAGGGGAGAGCTTCAAGAGCGGCACCCAGCCAGAACCGAACCTGTTAGCAACAACTAATGATCACAGAGCAGTGTTACAACTCCATGATCGTAAAAACAAATATGAATATAAGTAGTGTTATATAAAAATAGTATTTAGACTGGGATCTACTTCAAGAGATGGAGTTGTCCTGACACCCGACCTCGCTTTTTGACGTTAGCTGCTACTGTCGTAACTTTATTGCTACTGCACTCATCAAAACTGATAAAACACACACAGTCACAGACGTACAGACATCACAATCTAACATTAACGTTATGTACATTAATGATGACTAATACAATTAACTTTTAAACTATAGACTATTATCACGCTTCTGGGTTTTGTGGGCGGGGTTTATCTACTTTGTGCACTTCCACTTCCAGTGCAACAACAACAATGGCTCAAACGATGTCTAGATGTCACTGCTCTTTTTAAATTATGAAATAATCAGCAGGATCAATGCATATTCTTTGTAACTACTTTGTAATAGCTTTATAATTGGCAAAAGAAGTTACTGGGACCAGTTAAAGCTCCACAGCGGGAGCAGGACAAATGTATCAGACACAAAAAGGAGGAAAAAAGTCCGCTTCAAACAGGTGTTCTCGCTCTGTCTTTTTTATTTTCTCATAGCATCATAAAGTCCATTGAAGTCCAAAACATCACGGTGCTGTGAAAACAAAGCACCGAGAAAGCCTGGTTAAAGCAGACTTTTTTTCTCCTTTACGTGCTAACAAAAGGGACACTCGTATGCCGACGTTAGCTGACTGAAACTGAGAGGCGAACGTTCTTCCTTTCAGAATACAAATGACATGGGGGAATTTACTTAGCCTCATTTAAAAATTAATACTCTTGCTTTTGTTGGGTATGTTGGGTAAACGCCTTATATCCATACACCAAACTGACGTTAGCATAAGCTAACCCTCCTGTTCTAAAGCATAGGCAACCCCTGTCCCAACATACCGTCACTCCAACAGACCCGCACTCTGTCATACCGTCATTTCGACAACCCTCCACCCCGACATGCTCCCATTCCGACACCAATGAACCAGGACTAAACCAGGACTAATCTTGAATGAGAGAGAGAAAAAGAGACAGAACCGCCTTCCCGTATTGGAGGGTATTTGGTGTAAAGCTCTGTGCCATTAGAGCGCGCAGAGCTTTACGCTTGCTGCTCTGTTGGCACGAGAGGGGGCCACATACGCCTGACCTCCTGCAGGTGAGAGCCCGTGGAGGTGCCAGGTTAACGAGTGCGTAAAAGTCCGCAACTTTAAGTGCACACACGAGGAGAATGAGCGCTGCAGCCACCTCTTTATAAACTTTTATAAGTTTATAAGGGGCCGACGGGAAGTACTACGTATCTACTATGTAGTACTGCGTAAAGCTCTGCGCACTCTAATGGCAAAGAGCTCGCCAAATACCCTCCAATACGGGATGGCGGTTCTCTTTCTCTTTCTCGCTCATTCAAGATTTAGTCCGGTTCCTTATTGTCATTTTTTGACCTTAGTGGGAAGTTTTGGGGGATTTGCTAACCTATATATTTTTGGAAAGGTTATAGTATATGGAGTCAGAAAATCAATGTTTGCATTTGCCCAGAGGTCTATATGGTGGCCATATTGGATTTTGAAAAAAATGGCCACCAAAAAACTCTTTTTGGAATATCTCAGCCTCTGAATAAGTTGAAATGTTGATTTTATCTGCTAAACCCACATTTTCAGGGACAGGGAATCAAATGGTGCTAGTTACAAGGCTGTAAGACCTACCCACATTAACCCTTAGATGCATAAGTTGGTCAAAAATGACCTGGTTTGGTTGTTTTCTTGCAATTTCATTGTGATATTTGCATGTAATACTCCATGTTCCTCCAAAAACATATTTTTTTAATTATCCTGTTGAAATACTTCAACAATATGGGTAAAACAAACTAGAAACATCACATGCAGCTGGTCATATAACTCAAAGAGTTTAAAAGTAGCAAACATAAAATGTGTATGTTGGATGTCAACAAACACATTTAGACACAATATGATTATGCAACCTTTTTATTAGACATTTTCTATACATCATCACTTTCATACAACCATAGACTGTATATATGAGTGGACAGATCTAACGCTGTAGCCACCATGTGCCAAATAGGAATTTCTCCAGGAGGCTCTTCCAGCTCCTTCTGACTCTGTCTCTGACTTACGTTAGGACCTTGTGGCTCCTCTCTCTGTACCTGCTGCTGTGAACCTCGACATTTTGGTCTTAAAATGTTTATATGATCCCGCTCTACATGATTCAGATTTTTTTTTTTTGCTATTTTGTCTGTCATAAAAATCCTATTCATAATATAAAGCCCGTAGGCGGATGAGATCCTTCCTGAGTATTTCAAGTCTCTGGATGTTGTGGGTGTTGGCTGACACGCCTCTTCAACATCGCGTGGCGGTCGGGGACAGTACCTCTGGACTGGCAGACCGGGGTGTTGGTCCCTCTGTATAAGAAGGGGGACCGGAGGGTGTGTTCCAAGTACAGGGGAATCACACTCCTCAGCCTCCCCGGTCTATGCAAGGGACTGGAGAGGAGAATCCGACTGTGGTTTTCGTCCCGGTCGTGGAACACTGGACCAACTCTACACTCTCCATCGGGTGCTCAAGGGTTCATGGGAGTTTGCCCAAACAGTTCACATGTGTTTTGTGGATCTGGAGAAGGCATTTGACCGTGTCCCTCATGGTGTCCTGTGGGGGGTGCTCTGGGAGTCTGGGGTTCGGGGCCCTTTGCTAAGGGCTGTCCGGTCCCTGTATGACCGGAGCAGGAGCTGTGTTCATTGCTGGCAGTAAGTCAGACTTGTTCCCGGTGCATGTTGGACTCCCCAGGGCTGCCCTTTATCACCAGTTCTGTTCATTGTATTTATGGACAGAATTTCTAGGCGCAGTCAGGGGCTGGAGGGGGTCCGGTTTGGGGACCACAGGATCATCTCTGCTGTTGGCAGACGATGTTGTCCTGTTGGCTTCATCAAACTAGGACCTGCAGCACTGGGGCGATTTGACCCATGTGTGAAGCGACTGGGATGAGGATCAGCTCCTCCAAATCTGAGGTCGTGGTTCTCAATCGGAAAAAGGCGTCTTGTCGTCTCTGGGTGGGTGGAGAGTCCCTGCCTCAAGTGGAGGAGTTCAAGTATTTTGGGGACTTGTTCACGAGTGAGGGGAGGATGGAGCGTGTGATTAACAGGTGCAGTGTCGCCAGTGATGCGGTCGCTGTATTGGACCGTTGTGATGAAGGGCAAGCTGAGTCGAAAGGCAAAGCTCTTGATTTACCGGTCAATCTATGTTCACCTATGGTCATGAGCTCTGGGTAATGACCAAAAGGACGAGATTGTGGATACAAGCGCTCAAAATGAGTTTCCTTCGCAGGGTGTCTGGGCGCTCCCTTAGAGATAGGGTGAGGAGCTCAGTCACACAGGAGGAGCTCGGAGTAGAACTGCTGCTCCTCCATGTTGAGAGGAGCCAGATGAGGTGGCTCAGGCATCTGTTCCGGATGCCTCCTGGACACCACCCTGGAGAGGTGTTCCGGGCATGTTCCACCGGGAGGAGGCCCTGGGGAAGACCCAGGACACACTGGAGGAACTATGTCTCTCGGCTGGCCTGGGAACACCTCGGGGTCCCCCTGGAGGAGTTGGAGGAAGTGTGCGTGAAGAGGGGACTGCTGCCCCCGTGACCCGGCCCCAGATAAGTGGAAGAAATGGAATGGAATGGAATAATATAAAGCCTGGCTCCATATTCACTCCTGTAACCATGAACATCATGAGCTTCATTTGAGCGGCGCTGAACACTATGGGTGTATATATATGGTCGGATCATATCACAACATCTTCAGGGCCTTTGCGAATACCCTGTGATAGCAAATATAAGCAAGATCGCAGCATCAAAAAATGAGCAGGACACCCCTATTTGGACGACCCAGGAACTGGAGCTCCGAGCCCATGGCCAGGCCAGAGCTCAGAGCCGGCAGAGCTCGGAGCCAATGAGACGGCCATGGATCTGTCCATCTTGTTGAACAGTAATGTTTATTAAACAAATATATGAAATAAGTGCATGTGCGATTTGCTTCATTTAGTTTTCTTTAAATAATTAATGTCATGATGGCCAGAAATTGGTCCTAGTGAAGGCCCATGGTCCAGGTCCACGGTTCACTACTGCCAAATACAAAGGTGACTGTAGAACTGCACACCAGAAACTAAAGATTTAGCCTGTACCGACATGTGTCAGTGCAGCAGCCAGTGCCAGAATGATGACGATTCCCAAGCCGTGTTGTTGCATAGACTGTATGAAAGAAGTGGACTAAGTGAGTGTGACCCACAGAGTTCAGCGCTGCTCAAATGAAGCTTGAGATGTTCACTGTTATAGGAGCAAATCTGGAGCCAGACACTATATTATGAATAGGATTTTTTTGATGGACAAACTAGCAAAAAAACAAAAAAAACAAACAAATTCAGGATCATGTAGAGCGGGTTCATATAAACATTTTAAGACCAAAATGTCGAGGTTCACAGCAGCAGGTACAGAGAGAGGAGCCACAAGATCCTAACGTAAGTCAGAGCCAAGAGTCAGAAGGAGCTGGAAGAGCCTCCTGGAGAACTTCCTATTTGGCACATGGTGGCTACAGCGTTAGATCTGTCCACTCATATATACAGTCTATGGTTGTATGAAAGTGATGATGATAATGATGATGTATAGAAAATGTCTAATAAAAAGGTTGCATAATCATATTGTGTCTAAATGTGTTTCTTGACATTCAACATACACATTTAATGTTAGCTACTTTTAAACTCTTTGAGTTATCTGACCAACTGCATGTGATGGTTATAGTTTGTTTTACCCATATTGTTGAAGTATTTCAACAGGATAATTAAAAAAACATGTTTTTGGGAGGAACATGGAGTATTACATGCAAATATCACAATGAAATTGCAAGAAAACAACCAAACCGGGTCATTTTTGACCCACTTATGCATCTAAGGGTTAATGTGGGTAGGTCTTACAGCTTTGTAACTAGCACCATTTGATTCCCTGACCCTGATAATGTGGGTTTAGCAGTTAAAATCAACATTTCAACTTATTCAGAGGCTGAGATATTCCAAAAGAGTTTTTTGGCGGCCATTTTTAAAAAAATTCAATATGGCCGCCATAAAGACATCTGGGCAAATGCAAACATTGATTTTCTGACTCCATATACTATAAGCTTTCCAAAAATATATAGGTTAGCAAATCCCCAAAAAATTCCCACAAAAGTATATAAGGAACCGGACTAATTAGTCCTGGTTCATCGGTGTCAGAATGGGAGCATGTCGGGGTGGAGGGTTGTCGAAATGACGGTATGTCAGGACAGGGGTTGCCTATGCTTTAGAACAGGTAGGTTAGCTTATGCTAACGTCAGTTTGGTGTATGGATATAAGGCGTTTACCCAACATACCCAACAAAAGCAAGAGTATTAATTTTTAAATGAGGCTAAGTAAATTCCCCCATGTCATTTGTATTCTGAGAGGAAGAACGTTCGCCTCTCAGTTTCAGCCAGCTAACGTCGGCATACGAGTGTCTCTTTTGCTAGCACGTAAAAGAGAAAAAAGTCCGCTTCAACCAGGCTCTCAAAGCACCGAGACGTTTTGGACTTCAATGGACTTCACAATGCTATAAGAAAATAAAAAAGACAGAGCGAGAACACCTGTTTGAAGCTGACTTTTTGATCCTTTTTGTGTCTATGTTACATTTGTCCTGCTCCCGCTGTGGACTTTAACTGGTCCCAGTAACTTCTTTTGCCCATTATAAAGCTATTACAAAGTATTTACAAAGAATATGCATTGATCGTGTTGATTAACTAATAATTTGAAAAGAGAAGTGACATCTAGCCGTTGTTTGAGCTATTGTTGTTGTTGCACCGGAAGTGGAAGTGCACAAACTCGACAAACCCCGCTCACAAAACCCCGGAAGCGTGATAATAGCCCATACACCACCGCATTCTCCTTTTTTTTGTGTGTGGGTGAGCTGGGTGGGCATGGGGTTTTTGTTGTTCAACTGTTCTCTTTTTGTGTCTAGTATAACTCAAACAAAAAGCAAAAATAAAATAATGCAAAAAAAAGTTTAAGTAATGACTAATTTATTTTTTTGTTTGTTAAAATTGGCATATGTATTATTATTATTATTATTATTATTATTATTATTATTATTATTATTATTTGAGACCGACAGACGCACACAGAGCGAAAGCAACGCATTACGTATCTCCTTACGTAATGACGTTTCATGTACCTCAGGACGCGGAAGTGGTCTGTTGACATATCTTCTCTGTTGATGTGTGATTTACTTTCGCCATAATTATTTTTGATAACACTTAACGTCGTGAAGGGACATGTCACGGAAACAGAAAGAAGAGTATTACCGCTTTTTCACCGTCAGCGACACACGCACGCACGAGAAGGGCCACACGGAGTACAGGATCACCGCCCGGGTACTGTCCACTCTACTGTCCACTGTACTGTCTCTGCCTCGGCCGTGTGCGCATCCAGTCTAATCTGGCTGCTGCTTTTCTAGTTATATGTTTATCACTGACTGGACTTCACTCATTTCATTAGTACAGGGCCTACATTATGCAATTTTCCGATCGGTTACATTGGTTGTTTCCTCATCACAAACACACCCTGAGTTGTGTTTGTGTCGTTCACACATGTTCGTCTCTCAAACATGAAACCGATATATACACAAACTCGTGACAGTGTTGGGGCTGCCTGTGACATGTAGCTGATGTGGGCCAAAAGGCGTGATTTGAAAACTTCTCTCTTCTTCATGAGGTACATAAAGGAAGAGTACAACACTTATAAAACATCACTCCCTGTGACTGCAGTGAGCAGCTTGTCGTGCATTTCCAGTGCAGGATACTGGAGGAAATACAATCGATTTTCTTCCAAACATATCAATTTAGACAAAAATGCACATGGTGGATTTTATTTTATTTTATTATTATTATTTTTTTTTTTTTTGTTGCTTTTTGTTACTTTGTTTGTTTGCCCTGCCCTAAGACAGCTATGTAATTCGGTGTCATTCAGATACGTATGAATGAAACAACACACAACTCCAGGTATGTTTTTGTGGAGATAACAACATTATGACATTACTAAAAAAGTCAACCTTTAAATACTGGTAGTTTATTTGGTTGGTAACACAACAAGCTTCACATGCATAGCCTTAGTTCTCATGATTTATTTCTATACTGCTCAAAAAATAATAGGAATACTCTGAAAACACATCAGATCTCAATATGGGGGGAAAAATGGACAGAAATAAAAAATTTTAGCCTACAGAGGGCTTAATTTTATAGACACCCTGAAAATCAAAGTGAAATAATGATGTGGCAGGCAGGCTAGTCCAGTTTGCCAAAATTAAATTTCTGTAACTCAAAATGCCTCTCAGTCTCTTGTGTGGCCCCACATGCTTGTCTGCATGTTTGACAATGTCGTGGCTCCTAATGAGACGACAGATGATGTCTTGTGGGATGTCCTGTGTAAGTGCATCCCCGAGCTCCTGTAGAGTTTGAGGAGCAACCTGGCGGCGTCTGATGGACCCAAACATAATGTCCCAGACGTCGACTCTACAGACTCTTGCCACAGGGGCCGGACATTGTCGTGCATCACCAGCGTAGTCTGACAGTGGATTCAATGACCTAATGTCAGTCAGACTGCCATCTTCCAGCCGTAGAGGTCTGTGCGTCCCGCCATGGATCAGCCTCCCCAGACCATCACTGACCCATCACCAAACCGCTCTTGCTGAACCATGGTGCAGGCAGCAGAACATTCTCCTTTTATTCTGTAGACTCTTTCACCTCTATCACAAGTGCTCAGGGTGAACTTGCTCTCATCTGTGAAAAGCACAGGGTACCAGTGATGGACTTGCCAATTCTGGTGTGGTCTAGTAAATGCCAATGGAGCTCCACAGTGCTGGGCCATGAGCACAGTGCCCACTGCAGGACATGGTGCCCTCAAGCCACCCCCAGGAAGTCTGTTTCTGATTGTTTTGGGTAGAGACACTAGTGTCTTGCTGGAATCCATTCTGTAGGACACGGGCAGTGCTTAGCCTCCTTGCACAAAGGAGCAGATATGGGTCCTGCTGATGGCTTGAAGACCTTCTACAGGCCTGTCCAGCTTTCTTAGTGTAAGTGCCTGTCTCCTGAAATCTCCTCCTTCTTGAGATTGTGCTGGGAGACACTTTGCAATGGCACGTCTGGATGTACCATCCTGTAGGAGTTGGACTGCAAATTGGTCCGCATGACCACTGTGATCTTGTCATATGCAGAAGGAGATATGCAGGGTTATTCTGAGAAAGAAATTCACTGTCATATTTCTATCAAGGCAAATTTTTAAATGTGAAATATAGTTTAAACAGTTTTTGTTACATTTATCAGTTAACCTCCATTTCATTCATGTTTAAGCAACTATTCCACTGACAAGTCCTCCACTATTGACATGTTATAGAATGTTATAGAACAGTAGACATGTCACATTTACTATATCGACTTTAATTCAATAAATTATGAACCGATAAGTTTTGGATGTTATTATTTATCGTGTGTATGTTTTCCTTGCTCTAGTGGGAAATAGTTGGTATTTTTTTATATATGACAAAATTTGAGCTGTAGAATTATGAACAAAAATAACAAACTAACTACTTAAACTAACTACTTAAATGTCTTCTATATTTACTTACCATACCACACTTCAAAAGTTGTTATCGTGACAGACCTATTCAACAGTCCCTTTTTTTTTTTTTATTCCATTCTTGTTACCAATTTAATGCAAAGATCTAAATATTTATTTTTTCAAACTTCAATAACTTATTTAATGTTTTATCTGTATGTAACACCACCAGGCCAAATTACAGATCAGGTCAGTGGAGGTGAGCCCACTCTCAAGAAGAAATACAATTTTTCAAGTTAATCCTGAGCAATACAAATAATCAATATGGATTTGAGATACAGAGAGATATGAAGAAGCAAAACATCTCAAGACACAAAGGTAGCTAATCCCCTACCCCCGCACCAGGAATGTTAGATAGTGCACCTTTAAAGCATCAATCTAAATCTAAAAGCAATAGTAATGACTGAATGCTATTTTTCCTTGATGATTTGTAGTTTGTGTCCAAGTCTCATCCTGAAGATGTGAAGGAGATAGTGGTCTGGAGGAGGTTCTCTGAGCTGAAGAAGCTTCATGGAGAGCTGGCCTACACACACAGAAATCTGTTCAGACGAGAAGAAGAGTTCCCCCCTTTTCCACGAGCACAAGTCTTTGGTAATAATATGGCCTACTTATGCTCTTTAAATTTATAAAAAATGTTTTATCTGTTACTATGCACCGGCCATTTGCTAACATTCTAACTTTGCTATGTTTCTGTCTAACAAAACTTTTGTCCTACAGGGAGATTTGATGAAGCTGTGATAGAAGAAAGGAGGAGAGCAGCAGAAGTCATGTTTAGTTTCACTACCACTATACCTGCTCTTTATAACAGCCCGCAGCTCAAAGACTTTTTCAGAGTGAGTCCAAAACCATTGGGTTGGGTTACATGACATCATTACATTTTAACAACCCTGTGAAAAAAAAAGAAAACTTAAGTTTGAGGGCAGGTCATGATTCTAGTAGACTTTCCCTTTCAACTGTTAAATTGCCGTATTTTCCGCACTATAGGGCGCGCTTTAAAGCCTTTCATTTCATCCAAAAATGACTGCGTGCCGTATAATCCTGAGCGCCTTATATATGAATTTATTCGAGTGTTAGTACAATTTACTCCATACAGGGGCTGCAACCCCTATTCCGACCATCATTCTGACAACCATCCACCACGACATGCCCCCATTCCAACACTTTTTGATGCCCCCATTCTGACACCTTGATGCCGCCATTCCAACACCGATGAACCAGGACTACTCCAGGACTAATCTTGGATGAGACAGAGAAAGAGAGAGAGAACCGCAATCCCGTATAGCAGGGTATTTGGCGTGCTCTGCGCCATTAGAGCTCGCAGAGCTTGACGCACGCTGCTCTGACCTCCCTTGCAGGTGAGAGTGCAGTGGAGATGCCAGATTAACGAGTGCGTAAAAGTTTGCATTTTTAAGCGCCTCTTTATAAACTTTTATGAGTTTATAAGGGACCCACAGATTTCTGGGTCCCTGTGTAACGCGCTCTGTCCTCCATGACCAGGTAAAATTCCAGTCCTTTAGCCCTTATTCATGAAAATATTCAAATTCCTAAATCATTGATCATTTTAGTGCCGCTGTCTGACTGCAAGCCCAGCACAGCTTCACTCTCACAACACACTGAGCTTCACAGCGCATTCTCATGCGCCCTAGTCTTTGGCGACAGGTAATGAATGTCTTCTGCTCCTGTCCATTCACAAAAATGTCCAAATTGTCTCACAATCCAGTTTGTCGTAGTGTCTCTGCTTGGCCGTATCATTGCGCCTTGAGCCAAGTGCGCGTCACTGCGCGCCTCCATCTGCAGTGACAGGTAACACCCGTAACCCCTTCATTCATAAAAGTTCCAAATTCTTACGCATCTGTCTCTTGTAGCTACACTGCTCAGCTGCACTCACAGTACCAGGACGTACAGTGGTGCGCCTTCAGCAATCAGTTAAGATAAACAGATTCTAAATATAATTTCACCTCCAAACATGCGTTCTCTCACAATGAATCTGGTTGTATAGTTGGCATTGTCATTCGGCGCCTTGACAGGCGCAGAATGACTTGCCCGTCCTTTGGGGTGACTCCCAAACTCCAGAAAATGAGCTGCGTAAAGAGGATTCCCAGCCGTCAACCCTGGGATCATGTACCAGAGTTATATTTAGAATGCGTTTATCTTATCCTATTGTTGAAGTCACACCACTGTACGTAAAGGTCCTGGTACTGTGAGTGCAGCTGAGCAGTGTGGCTACAAGGGACAGATGCGTAAGAATTTGGAACTTTTATGAATGAAGAGGTTATGGGGCGTTACCTGACACTGCAGATGGAGGCACACAGTGACGTGCACTTGGCTCAAGGCACAATGATACGGCCAAGCAGAGAAACTACGAAAAACTGGATTGTGAGACAATTTGGACATTTTTGTGAATGGACAGGAGCAGGAGACATTCATTACCTGTCGCCAAAGACCAGGGCGCATGAGAATGCACTGTGAAGCTCAGCATGTTGCAAGAGTGAAGCACAGTCAGGCACTAAAAGGATCAGTGATTTAGGAATTTGGGTATTTTCATGAATAAAGGACTGGAATTTTACCTGGTCATGGAGGACAGAGCGCCTTACACAGGGACCCAGAAATGCGTGGGTCCCTTATAAACTCATAACAGTTTATAAAGAGGCGACTGCAAAGCCCCTTCTCTTCGTGCGCACACTTGAAGATACGGACTCTCGTGCCAACAGAGCAGCGTGTGTAAAGCTCCAATGGCGAGAGGCTGCCGCATTTTGAGCCAATGACAATTATGATTTACTGTGAATACGCTAACAATTTAGCGTCTCAGACTGTTTTGTTTTGTTTTTTTACGCGTCAACACTGAAAAAAGTTGAGAGTTATTGTGAACGCGTTAAATAAAGTTTGACTGACTTATCTAACTGTTGTGTTTCGTTAAATGCGCCTAGTCCGGTGCGGTTTATATGTGAAAAAAGATTAAAAATAGACCATTCAATGACGGTGTGCCTTATAATCCAGAGCGCCTTAAAGTGCAGAAAATACGGTGCTTCTATTTTCCTGATTTGTAGTAGTAACTCAGTCTCCAGAAGTGAACTGGTCATAACATAAAAAAAAATTATATTTGCATTCTAGAGTGGGAATGCAATATGTTGTCTTTTACTGTGCTTTATGGCTTTATCTTGGCTTGACTTTTTTTTTTTTTTTTTTCCGATTTCATGTTTTGTTACTATATATTGGCTGGTTTTGTACGATTGTTGGTGGTTTTAGACCATAGACTGTATGTATAAATGGACTTAACTAACCCTTTTAGCTGCAGTCTTGCAAATGGAAAGTGAGCATGTGTGCACTTTGGCTTCAAGGATCCTGGCTCCAATTCACTTTCTATTGCATAAAAATCTCCCCTGGTATTTTATGTCACTATTTTGTCCATAAGTCAAGATATGAACATTAATAACAGACCAATCAGGAGCCGTCTTTTCCTTAGGCTGCTCCCACTAGCGTTAACAACACATTGATTGCCCGCTCCCTGCCAAACCAGCATTGTGGGTGGGAAGAAGCGTTACCTTAAACAATCTTGCCCCAGACTGGTTCTTTGGTTGCCATGATAAAATTACTTGTGGTCAGAATTCCAAATATAGAGCTCCATACTCAGTCCAATAACTACCAGCTGCCTCCTCCTTTAATCCACTTGTTTATACAGTCTATGGTTTAGAGCAACACACTTTTGTTTTGTGCTCGTAGGGGGGTGAGGTGTCCCGTCCTTTGGACCCCACTGTAGTATACACCTCTGGGACACTGCCTCCCCCTCTCATCCCCCTCCCCAAACGCCGTGCCTCAGACTGTCTGCCCGCTGATGAAGAAATGGGACACGAGGCTCCAACTTTACCCCAAGATTTAGGAAACAACTTGGGCTTAGAACTGGGAGAGCCAGAAGTAGCTGCTGAGGCCTTCTGTCACATTAGAGGATCTCCTGAAGAACCAAGTGACTCAGAACTGGATGACAGAGGTGAAAGACCATAGCAGAGTATAGATGTTATTTACATCTTACAAAACTACAGTTACTACTACAATTACAAACTGCTATTGCAAGTCATCTCCTCAGAGTACATATAAATGTAGCCTCAAGTGGTAAAGATCAGCCCTCACATGCGTCTGCGCCGTGCCCTACAAGCACCGCACCCCGCAAGCGCCGTGCCCCACACTAACCTTAATCACCTGTAAACTCCAACCACGACTCTAACCCTTAGCCCCAACCCTAATGGTAGGCCTAACCATAAGCATAACCCTAAGCTTAAACCTGACCCTAGTCATAACCCTAACCTTAGCCATTACCCTACATACCAACACATTTTTATAAAAAAAACCCAAAACATAACAAAAACAAATCTAAGTTGACAGACTTCTGGTTTGTATATACAAAATTTATAAAAATAATAAATTCAATTAAAATAAATGAAAGCAATAAAATAAAATCAAGATTAAATTAAACATATTAAAATAGAATTTAAAATAACAAAAATTAACAATGATTAGCATACATTAGCATAATTACATAATTAGCAAATTACATAATTTGCAAATAATATAACAAACACATAAAAATAAAATGCTATAAAAATAAAATAATAAATAATGACTCAAAATAAATGCAGTACATTTAAATGAAATCAAATATATTCATTTAAAATAAAAATAATATAAATTAACATACATTTCCATAAAATATCAAATTCACATAAAAATATATAAATTAAAATTATAAAAATAATAACATTTGCATTAACTCACACACATTTGTATAAATTACCATAAAACTAAAGTAAAAATTAATTTAAATAAAATAAAGTAAACAATTATTTAAATATTAAATAATAAATCAAACTATAATAAATTTAACTATTACATTACATTTAAATTAATATATTATTATTATTATTTAAATAAAAATAAATAGCTGGATATGTCACCTGTCTTCATGGAGATGCTACATTGCTTGGAAAGTCTCTTGGAAAAACAATTTTCAATGGAGGCAAGTAGTTGATGCTGCCAGGACAAATTACATGTCAGTTTTGCGGAGAGGCAGCCCAGCTCACATTTTTGTCATTTATTTGCAACAAATCTGGCTAATTAATATATTCCAGCATACTTATTTAGTTATAAAACACCTGCAGTTGAATAAATACAAGATAGATTAGTTTAATGCTATATTATAGAACATTCCGTGGCCATACCAGCTTCTCAAAGCCTGATCCCGTCATATCTCAGAAGCTCAGCAGGGCCGGGCCTGGTTAGTACCTTATTTTCCGGTTATTAGACGTGCTCTTAAGCCTCCAACCCCACCAAAAAACGACTGCGCGCCCCACAATCCAGAGCGCCCTATACATGAATCCACTTGGGTGTCCCAGCATGACTTCAGTAAACTACAAAGCCACAGCACCTGCAGCACACGCAAACACACACAGAGCAGACAGCAACCGCTCAGCAACCAACACCCACAGCCACACTCATCACTCCACGCAGACGAGGAATGGAACAGAGGAGGAACCGAAAAAGCAAGTGCAATGTGCCACTTCTAGACACAACTGAACAACAGAGTCACTGTGAACACGCCGACAATCCGTTGGTCCCAGACAGCACCCTCCCTACACGCCATAACTGAACAAAGCCCAGAGTCACCGTGAACGCCACAAACAAACAAAACCACTCACCCATCACACTGTTGGGTTTCCTTTAAAGTCCAGTGCGGTTTATTAGTGAAAAAAGTTCGAAAATAGACCATTTAATGACAGTGCGCTTTATAATCCAGAGCGCCTAATAGCCCGGAAAATATGGTACTTGCATGGGAGACTGCTGGGAAAATCAGGTGCCACAGTGGGGTGCTAGTAATAAAATTGTTGTTGTGCCCCCTTAGGCAAGGCACTTGAATTTGTATGAAAGTGGTGTGTGTGTGAGTGATGGTGGTGGACAGAAGGGCCAATGGCGCAGAATGGTAGCCTCGCTTCCATCAGTCTTCCCCTGGGCAGCTGTGGCTAGAATTGTTTCATAATCAAATACATACAGCTTTTAGTTCCTTATGTTATGTCATGTTTCATATTATTTCATATATATTTCAGATAATGATTATTTAATAGCCAGAGTGGCTAACAGTGTAAATACAAGCTAAACTTTATGATGTACTGACTTTTGTTCTCTATGTGGCTCCAGTTCCATCACCGTTTCTAATGCAAGATTTACAGGAGTCGCAGGAAGAGCTGAATTCCCTTTTTGATTCAGTGGTGGAAGACGAGGCACCACATACCGATGATGCGCCACCTCCTCTGTCTCAAGATGACCTGGCTACATTTGACCCTTATTATAACCCAGGTGACTTTATAAGCTCTTTCACTACTCTTTTCACTTGTTTTTTCTACTTTTAAAAAGTGTCATTTGTGTTGAGCAGTGTTAAAGCAGACCTATTCTGCAAAATTGACTTTTCAGACCTTTTAACCATGTTATAGTTGTTTTCTCTCAATGTTTACCCACTTGCAGTGGTATTTGTAGTGACTTGTGGTATGTTTGAGTGATTACTCAAATGTAATTTAGATTAATCGCTTATTTTCAAGAGGCCATATGCCGTTGTCACTGCCAGCGGGATATGCTCACTGCTCTCTACTCACTTCGTTCTCCAGTCAACATTTTTTTCAAGATTCCCCAGTGTCGAAAAAAAAGTCTACTTGCTACCGTGACCTGAAGCTATTTATAGGAGAGGCTGACAGTATGTTCAAATGTGCAGATTATAGCATAATGATCCATGGGTGTAATAGATTAAGTATATAGCAGACAGAGGCACAATATGTCTATAATAACGAAATAAATAGATGCATTTAATGGCATACTATAACCTCTCAATGGAGCCAAGATAGTCATTATTATAAGTACAGAATACATTTTTAGATTAATAGACTCTAAAAAAAAATTACTCATAATAAATAATTTCAGTCAAAATACTGCAGCTAAAATACTTTTTCAAATTTCAGACTGTGGACTTCTGGAACTCCTCCTTTACACATCCCTTTACACAAACCTCTTTGGAAAAAACTTTTGATATTCAGTCAAATATATACTTGTTAAATTACGTGGAACAACTTCATTTAGATAGAAAGAAATGTAGAATACTGATTACATTTCTTTACAAAGTATGTTACAGTATACTACCACTTTGGAAAGATGGCACTATTTACGAGTCAGTTGTCACAATTTCTACCTTTGGCAAAACTCATGAAAAAAATAATTACGGACACATTTTTCAAGAACTTTGGTATCCTTTACTGGCAAGCCTGGAAACTCTTTAAGAATTAAAGTATCACATTTACTAAATTATCTTTGGTATTCCCTCAAGACGTGTATGCTTGAATGAATAATGTACAGACTACTTGGCCATATAAGATGTTTGCTGCTTTGGAGTGGTTTGGAATGTCAAGAAGAGAGGAGGGATGGGAAAAAAAAAAAAAAAAAAAAAAAAAATATATATATATATATATATATATATATATATATATATATATATATATATATATATATATATATATATATATATAATATATAATATATATAATCAGACTGTGGTCTTTGTTATTTTAGACATGTTGGTTTTGTTCAAAGTCATTTCATACACCCTCATTTCCAGGTGACTCTGACCGCTGCAGTGACCATTCTGAGCTGTTTTCTCTGCCCTTGGACAACATGAACTCAGGAGCTGCTTATCTGACCAGCGCCTCCTCCGAGCTCACTGCAGCCATGGAGAAGGAGAAGGAGGGAGAGCTTAGTGCAGCTATAGTCAAATACAGGACGGCAGTAGACATCCTCATCACAGGAGTTCAAGGTAATTAAAATAACTAATGAAAATATAACATTAGTGTTTTTAGGGTTGTCAAAAGTATTGAAAATCAGATACTAATTGATAACTAAAACTAGTAAAACGACTGTGGGATTACAGATATAACCTGGCCACATGTCTCTGAAGCGGGAGTAATTTAGCAAAGAGAGCAAAGGGAGAGGGGACTTATTAAACATGTTAATATGTTATTTTTGCCATATATAGCATTTAACAATATAATATAAGATAACATGATGATCTAAATATTTTATATATTAGCGGCTAATACCCCATAAAAGTGTAGTAGCCCCTCTTTAAATAAAGATTCAAAGACAATTTTCCTGTTCATTTAAATAATTTATACACATACATTTGTCATATAGACTGTCTGTTGTTGTATGTGCAGGAGATTCAAACTCAGTGCGGCGGGAGGCTGTAATGAGAAGAACAGCCCACTACCTAAAACACGTTGAAAAGCTGGTGGACATGCACTGCGCAGATTCTCATTCTTAGCACAAGTTACTCGACTATGGTCAACAACAAGCTATCTCTGTCATCCAAAAAATGAGTCTCCTCATGTGTAGTGATGAAAAAGCTTAGATAGAAACAGTCCTAACCAGTCACTCCTCAACAGTTCATCTCTAGTGGCTATTCTCTGCAGATACAGACTGTGTTGTACCTGAGAAGGCTGTCCAAAATCGTTTCAGCCCTCACATGAGACATACTGTGTTGTATCTTCAAGGGGCCCATATATGTTTAATCTATGTTATAATGTTGTTTCCTCATAAAAAAACATACCCTGAGTTTTGTTTCATTTACACATGTTTATTACACAAACTTGAATTCTTCTCTCAAACAAAAAAACAACTTGTGATGTCTTGTGGTACTATTACTACATTTTTAAACTCTACACACTTCAAAAGATTCATTTGGTTAACATCAGTGCTAGAATTGCTCATCTCTACTGAACAAAAGATAAAAGTTAACATACCATTGAAAAATTACATGTTTCATCACTTTGGATATAGACACAAATAATTAAAGGTTACTCTAACATGTGTAAATGAAACCAACTGTGGGTATGTTTTTGAGGAGGTAACAACTTTTTAACATGGCTCAAAAGAATCCATTTTACGTAATGAAGAGGAGAATTACTATGCACACTTGTAGCATTATTAACCATGTAACACCATCAGAAACATATCTTCAATTTGGCTTTGCTTCTTTTCCTTCGACCCCATTGCAAAATGACTGAATGATTACCATTGCTACCAGCAGAGAGAGAACCAACCAAATGACAAAATGAAGTGCCCAGAAATGCAGTCCAGGTTCAAGAGTCTTATCCATATGTAACCATGTAGTTCTTATTCTGTAATGCCAAGGCAAATTTGTCCAATAACATGTGTAGTACCACAGTATAGTGCACTATGTCATTTAATGCAGCTTATAGTCTGTACTGTCACTGGCTCATGTCTCTTAGACAACTATCATTAAAGCAGCCAACCAGTCTGTCTGTCTAAAACTGATGATGTGATCATTCACTGAATACAGGACCAATCACGCTGGCTTGATGAGTGGGACTTTAATGTGAACATTTTCGACGACTGGGAGTTTAACTCGGACTACTTTTCTCTCCTGTGGACAATTTCATGCTAGGTACTTTCTCAACAGATGGTATAGAGAGTTATTCTATAAATTATGATATGGCTTTTTTGTTTATAGAACTAAATGTAAATATTCTTATTGATATTTTAAAGTGTGTTTTTTAACTCAGTAGCTCAGAACACATTGCAGACACACACAGTTGTGTCTCATACAATGAAAACAGAGTCCACGTATGCAACTGATCAAAGTAGATGCAATGTTTAATTATATTTTTTTTGGTATCTGTATTTTTTTTCAATAGAACAACCCCTCAACTTGCACTGTATGCATGACCAGTACAAACTATTACATCAGGTTAAACTAACTTTGAATCAACTTTCAAAACCCTAGGATATGCTTACCTGATATGACTGAGAGTGAAAAGATGTGTATGTATATATAAGTATGCAGTTATAGTCCTGTTCCATGCAGTAAAGTAAGTATTCCACTAAGAGGCGCTATTCTGTTGACTTTGTTGTGACATTCAACGCATCACCAATCATTTTCAAACATTCCCCCTCACTATTTTGTATTTGAACCCATTTTTCAGTAAAACTAATGCTAAGTTCTTCTAATTGTCCTGGTCTATTCTTTGCAATACAAGAGTGAGCAATTACATTCTTTTTATATCAGAAATTAGATTTTTTTTAAATGCATTTATTTATTTATTTATTTTAGAATAGTCTTTATTAGTTTAGTCTTTATTTGAAGGGACAATGTACAGAGACATAATGCATAAAACTCAAAACTCATGAAAATGGAGATGTTCAGTGGCAGATTATAGCTAAACAACTAGTTTACAGCTGCAGTTCCAGACTGACTTGTCCATGTAACATTTTAAATATTACTCACAGTGTATTTACTCATCCACCTCTGTCTGAAGTTTAGAGAGGAAAAGATGGTTACATCCTGATACCATATTTATTTTTAAATTTGTGTCAATTAGCAATAACCAAATATAAATTCAAACTGCTCTATTAAAACCAGCATCTTTTGTTGTTTATCCAAAATCCCTTTCTTATCAAATGCAGATGAACATATGTATTACAGTATTGTTGGTTTGATTTGAAGAACCATTGTCGAGGACAGATGGGGCTACCACCAAATGAGGCCAGCATCGTGTACAACAAAAGATGAGAGGACAACAAAAACCGCGAGCAGAGTAGAAGAGGGTGGTGATGAGAGCATGAGCCCAGATCATCCCTCTTTTGTTTCTGTTGTACAACACCTTTTCATGTTCTGTAGATGTTAGATAGCAGCCTGTTTTTCCTCTAGCTTCCATCCAGTCCCTGAAAGCTCTTGATTTAGTGCTGCACCTGTGAAGCAGAGATGGAGAGACAAAAGTGTTAGCATATGCGCACTCCAGTACTCTCCACTCTGCCCACTGCAATTATAATCTCCAGTGGCTCAGCCTGAGAGCATAATAGTCCTTATTTGTGAGTGAGGATCAACATCACATGTTTACCTAGAATCATAATATAGTGCATTACATATGGCACAGGGCAACAGAATGACTTGATGTAGGCAGACAGACATATTGACCAAAATTAATGTCAGCATTTTGAACATTTTACAGAAAATTATGATTTTTTTTTTTTGTTCTAGACCCATGCGACAAGGCTGACTACTTTTGAGATGAGGTAAAATCAGCATTTTTTACCTTTCTACCATGCCTGAAGAGGTTTTAGATCCATGCATGTTTGAGTATTTTAATGATCTCTCACATGCTCTATTTGAACCCACCTTAGCTGGAAGATTTTGTGCAATGCTTCACCCACAAACCTATGTCACCCATGCTCCTGGCAATTCTCTGTAAATATAAATGAAACAAAACTGATGCCATGTGCTGTAGTTTACTTAGCAGAATGCACACCGATTGTAATGTGATAGTGCTCTGAAGGGGCAATGACTTAACACAGATAGCAAAGGAAGTGGTGCCTCAGAGCATTAAAAATGAAAGTGAAACTAAACACACATACCAACGGATTATTTGTTTGGCAACACAGCAGATGCGCATGCAGCCTGAGTGCAGAAAGCATCACTGTCTGTGTGGTGAACATGAAGTTGCAACATTTGCTAGCCCAGTAAACGGTTTATTATTTTGTGATAAAATAAGTTCTGATGCTAAATTAGTAAGTGGGATACATGTGTTAATTGCAGGTGACTACTTAAATGACGAGAAGAAATGTCTCAAACTTTTGCTTCTTCTAAAATCCTACAAGACACTAACCCCCTATTTACACCAAAGTGTAAGAGTGCGTAAGTGCAGCAGCACAGTGTATGAGCAGCACATGCGCAGGTATCTAGCATTCTAATGTTATTTGATATCAATTCAGCATACATGTTCCAGGTCAGTTTTTTTATGACCAGATTTTGTGAAGGCAAAGCTTAAAAAGAGTATAAGGCTTCTGAACAAACAAGAGCAAAATAATATCACAAGATTTTTTTTTTACTATGGTAAATGGACAAATGAAAACATATTACTGCTGAGCTGATATCAAATAACATTAGAATCACAAGAAGTGTCAAAATAAATTTATCACTCACCATGTATCCTGAAAATCAAATGCTTGAATGGGGTAAATAATGCTTACACATATGTCACAAAAGATGTATTATTTCAGGACATCAGAAAAACAACGATGTGGCTCGTGTGTTGCCATGGTTACTATGCCCCCCAATACATTGGTGACACAGAGAAGATGTTGAACTTTGTGCCAGTTTTTTTCTTTTTTTTTTTAAATAAAGATACAGAGACATTGACCATAAACCAGTTTTAAAAATTTGCATCTCTGAAAGTTAAACAGCAAATACTGATATAAAAGTGGGACCTTCACCACTGCTTACTTTTGAGTATGTCATGTCACTTGAACACAGCCAATGTACCATAAAGAAATGTGGCAGAAAACTAATTTACTTAAATTTGACTTCAAAAAAACAAACAAACAAACAAAAAAACATTATATATTATACATTTATATATAATAGTATAAATTCCAGAATATAGGCAACAGAAGGCAAAGGTGAAGTGAAACATACTATGATTTCAGTGGAGATATTTGGACTAGGTGTAGAATATCATAAAATGTGAAAATTAAGATACAGTACTTTTGGCAAATGAACATATGAATGATATCGGTGCATGGTTAAAATATTTTGCCTTCACAAACATTTTTGGTGAAGGCAAAATGCTGAGCTTTACCTACTGGCTCACAGAAATGCTGAAACCCATAATAACTGCAAACAGCATTTTTGCCAGGGGTCTATATACTTTTTAAACAAACAACCCATAGTTGAAAATTGAGGTCGAGTTTCCTAAAAAGATTATTTTCACACTATTTTTTATAAAGATGTGGCTTTAC